TTGAGGTTTACCATGGGATAATGAGAAGCTATTTTGGATTGTTATCATGAATATTTGGAAGATTTGTGTTATCCAAGCCTTTACTAATTTTTGGAATATGATTTATGTTGAGCATGGAAATATTATTTGTGGTAATAATGAGTTAAAGGTTCTTCATAAGTATTGGAGTAAGGTATGTATTTTGGGAGATATGAATTTTGATATTAGCATTAATTTATGATCGTTTATATCTAAAGGTGGAAAGTATTCATATTGCAAGAATGAGTATTGTGATGATTTTTTAAAGCAAAATTGTTGATGATTGAATCCTTTGAAGAAACTTAATACAAAAGTTAGAGGATTTTGAGTCAATTAAAGTGAAAGGAAGTATAAGTAATAATATTGAGATAGAGGAATTTGTTTAAATTGAAGTTATTTTGAAGAAATAATACCTTGTGAAGAGATTTATTAAAGTTAGTTAAGGAAATGATTGTTTGGATGATTACTTAAAGGATTTTACTCTAAGGGGTTGATGATAAAATTGATACAGAGAAGTTATTAAAGATAGAAGAATCAATTGAGTTATTTAAAGAATTGCCTTAGAGATAAGTTATGGATTATTACAACCAGATTGAGGAATTTGAAGTTATGAGAAAAGATTATCGAATTTTTTTTTTAAAGGCGAAGTATTATGTTATTTGAAGTAACCAAGAGGTAACGATTACTTTTTTAGGCTGTATTAACAGGACTCATGAAATTGTTGGGAAAATTGTAAATACTTTTGGAAGATACCCTGAGACAAGTTACTAATCTATGAGCGATAAGAAGGTCAAGGTGAGATATGTTCTTTTTATGCTTGTACTTATGAAAATCTTTGCTATGAAGTTGAATATGTGATTATTGTAATTATAGAGTTTCTTTATGAAAAAGTAAGACTTTTAAAAAGTATTTTACAAATATGAATTTTCAAATATATTTTGAAAATAAAGTTTTGTATTCCTTGTTTTTTTTAAATAATGGTTTAGATTGAAACTTTCATAAATCTTTTAATATATTTGATTAAATATTTCAGCTCATACCTTATAGTCTTTCAACGATTTCTCCTAATGAAAGTATCTTAAATTTTACGAATGACTCATAAAAATATTTGACGAGTTTTCTAACTACTTTTGTAAACAAATCAAAACCTAAGTTCTTTTGGATGTTTGAAACTTGCTCATTTTCCTTACTTTGATTGACGATCGCCGATAAAGTGTTAATATCGTTGATTTAATGAGTTAATGTGTTGGTCGAGTTACGGGAACATAACTCCTTTTTAAGGGGGTAGAGTGCGATAGAGTTTCGCACGCATTTATTTTCAACCCTCTAGGTTAGGAGTAGGCTGTGTCTAGTTAGAATGTGCATGAAACTAACTAACTAAAATCTATTTTCAAAGAAGAAAATTTTTAATTTTTTTTCCTCATTATTCTGCTTAGTTTCGAGGCGAAACTTCTTTTAAGGGGGTTAGACTGTAATACCCCGTATTTTTGAAAGATATTTTCTAAATTAAAGAGTAATTTAGTCTCGTATTTTTGACGTATTATCTAAATTAATTATTTTCCTAAAGAGTATTTTAGTTTTGGAGCCAAAATGATATTTAAATTTTGGCGCCTAAATCATTATTTTACAAAACTAATTAAATTGAATAATCCAATAAATGAAACTATTTTATACTTATGTTATAAATAGTATTTTTGATTTCTCAAAATTAAATAGCTAAACCGAAATGATATTAATTCGATAGATTAATTAAATTGTATTTTCGGTTTTCATAGAATAAAAATCTAAATTGTTTTAATATCTTTCCAAATTAATTATTTTCATGAAATATATTTTTAAAGAATTAATTTTCAGATTTTATATAATAAAAATCTGATTTAATTAATTATTATAAGTCAAATTTTCGGCCACCCCAATTATTTAATAAAAATCTTATTTTATTCTTTTAAGTATTAATTTTTACAAATAAATTTTATTGGATTATTAATTTTAGGCAAATAAATTATTTTACAAAATCCCTAAACTAACATAAGAGAACCGAAAATATTGAACAATATTTAGCTCAATATTTTCGGCCACTCATGAATTTTCTAAAGGATTTTTAATTTATTTTATTAAAAATAAAATCCTTTAAATTTCCTTATTTCTATTCTTAAATCTAAAAATTATTTGATCCTATTCTATACTTGCACTCCAAGCTCAAAACCTACCAAACAAAATTTCATGATCAAATAAAATCTAATATCCTTCCATACATTTAAAACCCTAATTTCTATTCTTTAAATTTCCATAAATTATACAACCCTAAATTGCTATAAACTCATCACCTAAACACCTATAAATACCCCCTCATACCTGTCATATTCTTCACACCAAAAACTCAATTCTCTTCTTTTCTTTTACTCTTATTTTCCCTCAAACTTTTCCTATTTTTCTTTTCCTCTTTTCTAAAAGAAAATCTGCCCGTATATCTTTGGAGCCGATTTTCGGGCACTTTTGATCCGTTTTTGGATTTTTCTATTTCACAAAACATTATTTCTCTTGAAAAATACTTGTGGTTAGGCTGAAGAATCACCCAATTCGGAGTTATATCAAAGGAGTTATGACCTCTTCAAGTTCTGCCTATTCTTTCCAACCTAAATTCAGTTTCCTTTAATCCTATTCCTTTATTTTCTTCATGGTTAGTTTTCTAAAATATAATTGCCTATTTCACAGTTATAATTTTATATTAAATTATTATTTTTAAAAGATTTTTATAGTCCATGCACATTAGATTTAGGTTTTTGTCTAAAGATGTTGTGATAACCGTATGGTTATGTTAATTGCAAGGTGTATTCGTGATTGAACTTTGAAAGTGCGAAGTGTTGATTGATATTCGGAATTAAGGTACGTTATGTGGTTTGATACCTTCGAAAGTTGTCCATGAAATTGTATCTTATTATGTTCCTTATAAAATTATGTTTCATGATGGTTTGAATTAATGATTTTTGGTTAATCAAAATAGACTTTGAATTATGATTAAAATTATTAAAAAGGATTGGATTAAAATTGATTTACAGGTTTCTTAATATTCAAGAATGATGGATTTTTTTAAAAAAGGTGCTTTTAAGTAAATCAATCGATATGGTTATGAATCCCACTTAGGGAATGGATTAGAGAAGACTATGGACTTTGCATGACCTAGTCTTTCCTCAAGATTGACCTTTGTTCATAAAGTAAACCACTTTGGGGGTGTGCACACTTAGTGAGGAAATGGTTTTGGAACGTAATCAATTGAATTTTAAACTTGTCTTGAAAGCATTGAATTGGAAAAGCTCTTACATGAGTATGGCATTGGAATTCTTTGAATTAAACTTAAATGATTTAAATTATGTTTTACTTATCTTACACATAACCTACTTAGCATAATTGCTAATACGTGCTTTTGTTTTGGCTTTGCCCTGTTTACCATTTATGGTAAGCAGATGAATGTTTCAGGTGGAAGTTAATTGATGCATACGGGAATTTCACCTAGCTTAGGAAAAGTTGGAGTCGTTTTTGTGTCACAATTTATGAACAAGTTTATTTGAAGTTTTATTAATAAGAATAAAGAATTTCCGCTGCAAAAGTATTTTCAAAGTATGAGCCTTGCGTTATCACGCGGCGGTAATACGCCCAAGTCTATCTCTACGGTATTTATACGTATTTTCTACATATTCCGTAGAGGGAGATTTGGGGGTGTTACAATCATCCTCGATCCTCCTTTCGTGATTCTGAACCATATGTAGTTGGTAATCTCATGGATTAAGAATGGGGTGTAACCTTCACGGGTCAATTGTTGTTGCCTATCGTTGTCCCTTTTCGTGGTTGTCTTTTAATGTTCCGTGAACGGTTTACAAATTCCTTAAAAACTTGTTGGCGGCTCCCTACTTTGCTTTGTCCCTAATCGTATGTCAATTCTCACTTCCTAAGAGTGCCAAGCATATTCACAACATGCTTAGGTAGGTGCGCTTCGAATGACGCCTATAGCCAACTTTTTTCAAATTTGAAGCCTCACCTTTTTTTTTAAGTTACTAGACTTCCTTTGCAACAATAGAATAGGTGCACGGTCAAAATTAATGGGGTAAAGATGTTACACAGCAAAGTTCTTGAACAAGTTTCACCAAGATGTGGTGGCAAATTAACGGTCAAGGCGTTCTCGCCCTCGAGTTTGAATTGAGTTGCCTCTCTCCCAAGTATACCAAGGACCTTCAAATCTCAAGTCACGTAACCCACAGTCCCCATCGCTTCTCGGAAATTCACAATATCCCTTCTCACCCTATCTGCCTCTCCTTCAATTTCCTCATAGGTGAGAATTTCATTGAAGTCACCGCCAAGTAAAATTGGAAGGTTAGTTTCAGCACATAAGTGTCAAATTAGTGACCATGTCTTATGTTTTTCTTCTTCTTTAGGCCACCCATACACCCCCAAAAAACCTCCAAGTACCCTCCTTACACTTCACGTCACCACATATGTAGTTTTGGGAGAAGGAGGTGAGTTGAAAGTCAACACTCTCCTCCCAGAAAAATACCAAAGCACCAGCCTTGCCTCTACTCGGCACCCCAAACACATTCGCAAAAGCCTAAACGATCTTTGAGTCCCTCTACTTCCTTCTTATTTATCATCGCCTCCGATACAATAATCATATCGAGGGCAAAGTTATTGCTCCATTTACGAAGCTGTCAACTGACCGGGAGTTGCCCAATCCTCGACAATTTCAACATAGGACACTCATTGAGAGAGGCAGGGTAGGTCTACCCCAACCAATACTGCCATATCATTGTAACATCCATGGTACTATTTTTCAATTGTTTTGTCCTTTTTCCACCGTGAACATCATTGTCTAAAAAGAGTCTCGCCATTGTCCAGGTTGCGTTTAGAGGCTAGTACTTCCGTACTACCCCCTTTCACTTTATGTGAAGCATTGGCATTATTTCTCTTCCACGTTCGCCTCCCCTCATTACCTTCATCTTTTTTCCTAGACAACTCAGCAACATTCGGAGGAACTATTGCAGGATCATGCTCTTGCATATTTGGAACAGATTTTTCCACTTCTTGTGAACCAAAAAAGAACACCCCCTCCTTATACGCCTCTTTAGTCAGGGGTAGCCAACACACTCTTACTAGGTTCTCTGTTATGCTCCATAATCAAAGGGGAAGTAATCATACCATGTTCAACCAAAGTTTCTCCCTCCTCTGTGTCATCAATATGCGGTTTTATAATGAAGATTAGACGCTTAGACGCCTTCAACTTCTCTACTTCCTCCACCTCCTTCAATCTCCTCTTTCTAGGGGTTGCCTTTAGATCAGTTCCCCACCCCAATTGCTCTTGATTATCCTCCTCTAAAACATTATGACAGTCTCTCTTGGAGTGACCCAAAATCCCATAGGCAAAAGAAAGGCAGTCTTTCGTAAGCAAAATTGAATCGTAACTCTCTCCCTTTCCTGTCTTTGATCATCTGGAAACGTCGCAAAGGTTTTATAACATCCATCATTAATTTAACTCTTCTGTAGCGTCCAATCCCCTATACATCCTCCTCTAACTCCATAACACTCCCCATGCCATTCACCAGAGCTCGACATGAGTATCAGACCTATAATTAAAAGTAAGGTTTTTTATGCGCACCCAAAAAGGCGATTCAGTGAGTGAAACCTCCTCTGGTTGTTCGTCACCGTCAATTTCTTTGAGAAGAACCAGCATGTTATCGAAACACCAAGGTCATCCATTCAAAACTTTCTGATAATCTTTCCAATGAAAGAATTAAAAAGCCTAAAAATTAGGGCTAAGAACGCTAATAGCAAGATCATGGCTTGGAGCCCAGACATTTGTTATTGTCTTCTTAAACGCTTCGACATTGTAAGATCGATGCATAAGAAGTTTACCCACCAGAATTAGGGTTAAATTATTATCTGTAGCATCAGGGGATAGAGCCTCCAAATCAATGGCTTTAACCTCTTCATCTTGAATACGATGCTGCGAGCACATGTTCGACAATTCCTCCTCTTCCATGGCAGAAGTAAAACCAGAAAGATCAAGCGGAAAAACCTACTGGAGGGCCGGTAAAATGCTACCCGAGGATAGAGGTCGCCCTTTTTTTTCGAGAGAGTTTGCCCTTTCTTTGGAGGGAGTTTTTTGTGACTTTTAGAACTTTTTTAATATGTAGTTTGAGATTTTTAGATTAGAATATTGCATTGGAAACATGCATATACTAAATGTGAACTCTAATTCGAAACAGAGGAAGTATAAACTTCTAATTTAAATTTGTGTATTTCTAAAAAAAAAAATTAAATTTGTTGACACGTATATATATATATATATATATATATATATATATATATATAATATATATATATATATATATATATATATATATATATATATATCGGCTATTTCATGAAATGCCACTGAGTAATTACGAAATTCACCAAATGTCATCCAACTTTTCAAAGTTTACCAAATGCCACCGAGTTTTAAAAAAATTCACCAAGTGCCATTAATGACTAACGGCTGTTAGTTGACCGTTAGTTGACTCCACCACTTGCCACGTGTAACCTTCTGATTGGCCCATTTAAAAAAAATTAAACAAAAAAAAAAGAAAAAAAAAAACACGAAATCCCCACCCACCACTCCTTCTACCACCCTCACCGGCCAAGCCCTAGCCAAGCCGCCGGGACCTGCAACGGCTGGCGCGCCAGCGGTCGCCAACTCCCCTTCCATTCCCACCTCTTCCCCCGTCGCGACCCACTCACCCTTAAACCCGAAACCCCACCCTCCTCCTTTGAGCCTCTGCCATCGCCATTTTGACGGCCTCAGCCAAGCTATACTTCGATTTCCACCGGTTTGCGACCCGTGACGGGGTGAGACCAAGTTGTGAGTTCTGAAGGAATTCCGACCCACCCACACCGGAATCCTACAAGCACAGTGGCTGGCCGTACATCAAACAAGACCGTTGAAGGTTTCGGGTTTTGGGTTTAAAGGGTGGGTGGGTCGCGACGGGGAAAGAGGTGGGAATGGGAGGGGGGTTGGCGGCCGTCGGTGAGGGAGCAGATCGCCGGTGACAAGGGATCGGGGTTCGGTGGCAGGGAGGGGTGGTGCCTGGGCTTCTGGCTGCCGATTTGGAGTTTTCGGTCGAGTTTTGGGAAGTGGGTGAATCTTAAATGGAGTTTCGATTTTTGGGGTTTAAGGGTGGCTGTAGGTGGCCGGCAGTCAGAGACAGTTGTAGGTGGTCTTGGCCGGAGCGCCTGCCGGTAAAGGTGCAGGTCGCCGGCGGCAAGGTTTCGGGGTTTGGCGGCAAGGAGGGGGTGGTGGCTGGGGTTTTAATTATTTTTATTTTTTTTGGTATTTTTAGTTTTTATTTTTTAATTTTTTTTTTTAAAAAAGGACTAATCAGAAGGTGACATGTGGCAAGTGGTGGGTCAACTAACAGTCGTCAGTCATTAATGGCACTCGGTGAATTTTGTTAAAACTCGGTGACATTTGGTGAATTTCGCAATTACTCAGTGGCATTTCATGAAATAGCCGTAAATATATATATATATATATATATATATATATATATATATATATATATATATATATATATATATATATATATATATATTATTTTTATTTTTATTTTTATTTTTATTTTGAAAAAAGACATGTATTAAACTTTTGATATCTCAATAATTAATACAGTCAAATTTAGTACACTTGTCAACCCCCTATTTTGACCGACATTATATATAATTAAGCATTATTAAAAAAAATATGAAATTTTATACATATACCTATAAAACAACATTTTACATGAGAATGCTCATGCATAGTGTAAAGGTCAAAATATATCAATTATTGTAAAATGGAGGAAGTAATATATATTCACAAACTCTAATCTGACATATTTGTGCATGCTTTCTCTTTATCTCCTCATCAGATGAGCCCCTATCTTTATTTCTCTTTACCTCTCTTTTCATCTTAAATTTCGTGTATTTCTTTTTGTTGCAATATTAAAGTAAACATAAAAGTATAATTAAATTAATATACTGATGATCAAAGCTATAGGTAAAGTTATATGTGTGCGAAGAAAATCGCTGGAGTATCATCTCCAATTTATTTGCATCACTTATTATATAATTTACTTCATCCATTTCTCCATACTTAGCTTGCTACATTTTCCTCAAAAAACATTAACAAAATGTCACACTAAGCTACTTTGCTAAAGTAGTACTGTACTATTTAATTACGTTTTTATGGACGGTTTTTAAACATAATAATATAAATTTGTCTTTGTACTAAAAGGAGGGGACCGAGTTTTTAAAGATACAAACAAGGATGAAATGAAAGTTAGAAAAACAGTTGTACAACTTTGTAATTTCTCCATTTCACAAATATTGCAACAATTATTATTTAAAAAGTTTTATAAATATTGCAACATTTCGTTATTTGTACATATTTTCTCTCTTTTTATTATCTGAGTTCCTACCTTTATTACTCTCTATCTCTCTCCTCTTCTTAAAATCCGTGTCTCATATGGGGGACAGAGGAGGAATTATAATTTTGTAAAGAACATTTCTTACTAAGGTAACTTTTTGGTCTTGCAGTGATTTTTAGCAATTTGATTATCTAGCTAGTGCATTGTGAAGTGATTTTCAAGAGATCAATTTTTTTTGTAAATAGAACAAATTTATCAATAAAAAATTATCTTTGTGTTTATCTCATGTTGATTTTTTTAATCATGTTTTAAAGTAATACTACTCATGTCTTATTATACACTAGCCTTAGATACATGCTTCTTATTCACCTAATTTTCACCTATTTAAACATAATTGAACATTTTAGAACTTATGTTATTGTAGATTATACTTGGATATCCCTTATTAATCACTCTTATCAGGATTCATTTGAACTTAGTTATTTCAAACTTACTTTTACCTAAACATATTAACCCTTATCTAAACTTATTTTTCTTATAATAAATGATTTTTTTTTTTGACGAGTATAATAAATGAAATGAAAGTGAATAGAGCAATATATATCTTATTTAAGAGCATATATAGAATTAATTTGCACTACAAAATATGTGGTCTCTTGCTTATTTCTCCAACAGTCTTAATACGTGTTTAATTTCTCTATACAGCAAATACTTCCTCCATCTCTTAAACATTGCCCCTAATTCCCTTTTAATTTATCACCAAAAGATTATCCCATTAATTTCCCTTTTTGTTAACACCACTCCGGCACTCCCTCTGTTCGATTTCATACCCCACATACTTAAGGACAAATTTACCTGCCTAGGTTTGTGCAGTAAGATATATGGGGAGCCCCCTCCTTTCACAGGAGGGGAGGATGAGGATCGAACCCCCGTCATGAAGGGACTAACCATCCCTCCACTCCTAAATCCTCCTAACTACCTAGCTAGTTATTATCCAGTACAACTCATCAAAAATGTGAAAAAGGGAAATAAATCAAACATTAAGTGACGGAAGCATTAACAAGTACTGTGTCATGGAGGAAGTAACTCTTACATAGTATTTGGTAGTCGGATATACATATCGATAATAGAAATGAAATTAAGTGTAATCGACACATAGTATCCGATCCTAATACCTACAAGTACATGTTAACAATATCATTATAAAATCTATGTTAATTTCCTCAAAATTCACATTACCACACAATACTAGCTAGCTCCTAATTAGTAATCGATATATTAATGAACACTTGTTTAGAACAGAGATAATTCTGGGATGAATTACCATTACCATGAGAATTGATACACTTTTAATTTAATACCATTTATTAATACATATCAAAAGGGGCTGCTAAAGTGCATTTGGTTTACAAAATAAGTTGTTAATGTATGGGTGATTCAAACCCAAATCAGGTTTCTGTTTCTGTTTCGGTTTCTGATTGGAATAATTACAAGTTCTAAGTTCATGCTCTAAAAAATAATAAATAGATAAAATTAACTAATGTTTTGTTCGTATTCATTTTTTGTTTTCAATATTTTAAACTAAAAACAAAAAACAAGATACAAGAAAATATAGTT